AAAAAAAAAAAAGAGAGAAAACACAAGTACACATTAAGAATGAGAAAGGTGATAGAACACTATCTCAGGAAGGAATTTTTAAAATCATCAGTATTTTGTGTAAATAGATCTTGATGAAATGGATAATTTTTAGAAATATATAACTTTTTCATTTGAACTTCTAACTTTCTAAAAATTTATATTATTTTATAATTCCAAAGTCTGCATTGAATCATAAGGAAAAAATCCTGAATTCTATCTCTTCTATGTTCCCCACACACTCAGGACACAATTACTGCACATATAATCCTCCCACCAAGTTGAAAGGAACTTTCTCCTTTATTGAAGTCTTTCTTGCCCTTCACCCATCCTGCCAACTCCCAACCACCCTCTGTACCACTGCCACCCCTTCTTTTAAAAATATCCTTTTTATTATATCTCACTATTCAAAATCTCATAATAGTTCCTATTTTTTTACACAAACATAAGCCCCTTTGACTAGCTTTCAGCTACCTCCATCAGCGCTCCTCATTTTACCAACCCACCCTCATTCCCACTTCCCAGCCTGCTTTCTATGTTAGTCAGACCATTCTTGTCACTTTCTCACAAACTCATCCTCCTCACCCCTACCTCCCTACATTCCCTGCAATGCCCGCCTTCCTCTCTGTCAAACATTATGTATTCTTCCAGTCTCAACTCCTCCAAAATGGCTGCACCAAGTTCCTACAGCCTTCTATAATCTCTCTTTTCTTTCTGAATTTAGAGTCTGTATTCCCATGCCCCGCCAAAAGAAATTCATCCCTTTCACTTTTAACTTTTGTTCTATGCATGTTATTTTAATCTTCCTAACTTACAACTCCATAAAGACCAGGACTAGATCTTGTGAAATTATTTAATACCCCCATCCCATTATTTATCACATTACCTAACCCTTGGTGGGTGCTTGGTCTATACCCTTGACTATAATGTGTTTTATTTCTTCTAATGTTTTTTATTTTTTCCTCAAGTGTCCTCCTCAAGAAGAAAATCAGTATTGAATGGTTCTATCAGTTATGGAGAGTTCATTCAGGAAAAGGAATTTCAGTGGGAACTTGCCTGAGACAGTAGAGGATTGAGTTTAGGATTTTTAAAAGGTAGAGGAAGTATATGTATGAAGCTGTCCCACATCGACTGCTGTGAGGGTGAAAAATCACTGCCCCCCAAATCCTAAACAGAAGCCTGTTACACAAAAAAGCACAAGACGAGGCATTAGCTCAGTAGTTAGATAATTGGGCTGGAATCCCACTCCATCACCACACCAGCTGCATGATCTTAAGCTTAACATTTATCCCTTTTAATTCCCACTTTCCTCTTCTGTAAAATATAGATGTTCTGAGGAGTAAATGAGATTGTTCCTTCACTTAGCACAGTGCTTGGAGTATAGTGCAGCTCAGTATACATTAGTTATTATTATTATTATCATATGTTGTCTTTTTTCCACAACTTGTGTAAGAGGTTTTTGAGGACTTAAAGAGGCTGTGATGGTGTTCTCCAAGAGTTAACGTGAGTCAGAAAATGTACACTGTTCGTAAGAGGGCAAAATGATCCAGAAACTAATCCAGTTCACCAGAAGTAGCCACTCACATTTAGGGTAGTCCTAAAGAAATGAAAGCTTCCCACCCTCCCAATCTCCATCCCCTCCCCCAACTGAATCCACACAGTTGAGACAACACTGCTGTGGTGGGCATCTACTATTTTGTTCACTTAGAACAGCAGCTCCCTCCTGGTAAAAGATAAACCCTAACCACGTGGTCTGAATAGAGGCTGCCATCTTACTTACACCGCCCAATGACCCAGAGGTGGCCACATGATCCAGCTGAACCAATCACATCACCATACACTCTGCTGCAGTCACAGATTGACCCCCTGGAGCAAAATTTGACTCAGACTAACATAAGCAAAAACCCCACCCCAGAATTTTTTAATTTGGGATGGGAAAGAGGGATCCTCGGTCCTTCCTTAGTGGCTACACTGTGAGATGAACTCTAGCTAGAGAATGTTTGCAGTGTGGTCTGAGTGAATAAAGCTGATATACAGAAAGCAGTGGAATGAAAGAGGAATCTTTGCAGGATTCAGTTCCCTGGCACCCTAGACACGTGAAACCCATATGTACCTCTGCAGTGCCAAGGTTACAAGAGCCTAAGCTTACTGGTGTTACATTATTGTCACTTGACTAAATCAACGAGATTTTTAAGGATTAATTTGCTAAGAAATTTTGAGAAACACCTTGCTGGCTTACAAAAAAGCAAATTCTACTTGTGTACACAATAATTACGTGGGTTACTTTTTCAGTAATTTCTCTTAACATCCTGAAAGGGACACTATTCCATACACGCATGTATCAACACACACACACACACACACAGTCAACTCCAAAGTATCTTTTTTTTAAGGAGGAACTGAGTGAATTGCATGAGGTGATTCTAGGTGGTTGGAACATCTGCTGAAATCGTGCTTCTGGGGAGAAAGAAAAAAACTGCCCTATTTGGAGATCCCTAGCTAACTTTCAAGGCACCTACATCTGAGTCTTCAGTGAACAGAACAGAAAAAAAAGAAAAAGCTACTAGCAGTGACTCTGTGGCTTCATCTAGACTGTGAGCTGAGGGTTTACTGGAGAGGGAACCATGGGGATAAAGGAATTGTCATACAGTGTTCAGGAATGGAGACAAGGTTCAGTGTGACTCATCTGAGGTTTCCTGGGAAGGAACTGGATTATAGGGATAATTATATACTCCTCTTCTTGAAATGTTCTCTTTGGACAGGGTTAAATGCAGAGGTGAAAGCCGAAAGACAGAAAGTTCTGTCCCTGAATACCCAGGAGGGAAAAGACTGTACCATCTGGTGCAATTACTCAAGTGCTCCTTTAGACAGACTGCAGGAGAAGATCTGGAGAAGAGCCTGGAATTGTTTTTATTGGTATCAAGAGGAGCAATGACGCAGGAGGATGATTCCCAGCTTCACTTGATACCAAACAAAGCCCATGGCAGCACCCTGCACACCTTAGCTTCCCAGGTGGCCTCTATGTCACCTACTTTGGTGCCATGGATGCTCAGTGTCCCTAAGGCTTTCAGTCTGTACCCAAACCTGAGCTGCAGCTCTGGCCACCCCTGTGCAGGGACCACAGTTATGAGGCTTACTTAATGGTCACTCTATCTCTTCCTGAAAAGAAATTCTAAAATGAATGAGAAAAGATGGTGGTTTTCACTCATTTCTTTACTGTGAAAATTTTCTTGAAAAGAAAATAAGGAGGAAAAATCCTAAATATGTCTTTTTTGAGAATAGGAGGTCTCATCCTTTGCTGCCTCATAGTCAAAATCTGCCAGCCTTCCATACAGAATGAGTTCACATGATGCAACTATCACATATAATTCCTACGAGACATGGACCCATTCTTTGTTTCAGATGTGAATGCAACATATAACATTTACCAATGGATGGAGAAAATAAATAAATGCTTTATAAAAGAATATTCTATAAGAAGGTCCTTACCTAGTTTTTTCTCCCAAAGTACTGACTACAGTCATCAGGTAATATCCATGTGATTCAGATATTTATTTATCCCAATGTGTGGAGAGATTCTTATTGTAGGACCCTAAAAGAAAAGAAAAAGGCTAATTGGAAAAAGCAGACCCCATGCTATTTAATGAAAATGTTATGCATATACGTTGCCTATATGCTATATGTACAAATACCCTCAGGTCTCTTTTATTTTTCCAGCTAATTGTTAGAGCAACAACCTGACAAATAAGCACAAGTTCATTATCTCCCTGTCGAGGCCTTCCCCACGCCCGCCCGTGACCTGTCAGAATGGACAGACTTGGGCAGTGCAGAAAGGATTAGTCCCACTCCCATGCCCATGCAGTGGCCCCCTCCCCGTGGACTCGTGCCTTGTCTCTTGCTGGCACCCAGCAAGAAGGGTGACCCCACTCCTTCAGTGTCAGCTTGGCCAAAGGAGGCCTCATGCCTTGGTTGCAGAGCCTTGCACTCATCTTCATAGACACATGACCATCACCAAGCCGTGGAAAACCAAAGAATGCTTGGTTCAGAGTAATCCTGGCATTCATATGGCAGGTTCAAACAACATCCCCTTTTCCATCTTCCATGGAAGACCATAGCTAAGTGATAGTATTTTTTGTTTTGCATGTCTCAGCCCCTGCGGGTCTGATTCCACTCACTTTCTCTAGAGTGACTGTAGGGTTATGCGCTGACCCTCTTAAGGAAAAGGTACTCTTAATAACCCCTGAGGATTCTGCAGCCCCTCTCCAACCAAGGCTACTCTGAGTGACTCAAGGGTGATTTATCCCCCAAATGATATTTTCCAAGGTGAACTATGCCAGTTTTCTCAGAGGGCCACCCATAATGATTCCATAGTATCGATAGTTCCTTTTCTAAGGGATGCTAGCTTCAGGGAATATACAATAGTTTTCTGGGACTTTCTTACTAAATAATAGAACTAACCCAAACATCACTGGTAGGCACCCTACTATGTGCTTTTGTGAAGTGAATTGAGCACAATTTAATACAATGACATAAAATTACACATTAAATTCTAATCTCATGGCTAAGGGATTGGTGAAAACACATTAGTTTATTGGCAAAGTAAGTAGTATCTATTTTGATAGAACCCAGGTTTATCTTTTTCAAGGTCCTGTTGTGCCTCTACTTGTCTTATAATACTCTTGTCCCAAAATAGTTTGCAATGAGAGGTCACCCTTATGAAATTTCAGAATGTTTCTAGTATTTACTTACCCACTTTCTCAAAGTCATAATATCAATTCTTTATTGTTTTCTAGGCTTTGTTTCCCTCTATTTTGCAAAGTGTCCATGCTTACCTTTCTTGCCACCCAGGAATGGTGGCACTCTTCCCCTGCTCTGCTCCTTCCTTTGCCGACAGCCTATGTCCTGAGTCTGGTGGTTTGTTCTGCCCCCTCTTCTCTGTTGGGTAACGCTTGTTAGCGGGCTGGGTTAGTTGCTATCTAAAACCCCAGAAATGACACAGGGGCTTCAATTGTGCTGTGAGTTGCAAAGATATAGGGATCAGTCCCATTCAGCTCAAGGATCTTACAGATGCTGTGAGAAAAGGAATAAAGTCAGAGACTGATAGCACAAATAGCGCATGAGTCACTGTGGTTCTTGGAGCAAAAGTGAACATGCAACAGAAAAAACACTATTATCTGCCAAAATTACTCCAGCAGCATTTTAAATAGACTTCTGTGAAATAAAGTCAGGAGAGACCCCTACCAGCTAATTTGGTAATTTTTTAAAGGAAGGGATTGAGTAAGAGAGTCATCCATAACGAAGCTTCTCTTATTAAAGCAAATCAGATTTTTTAAAAACTTTTCACCTTTTTCACTGGGGAAGGGGCGGGGGACAGAGAACAGAAGGGGCATAAGAGCCCTGAGCACAGTGGTGTCTCGCCTCAGACCAGCTGCAGCTGAGGAAGACAGCGGAGTTCTCTGTAAACACCAGCACTGACCATCTCTGAAGGGGGAATTTATTGTTTTCTGTCCTCCACTGTTTCCACATCTATAAGATGGGGTCAATAATTGAGCAGCTTTCTCAGTCCCAGGAGTGATTTTGGAAAAATAAGATGCTCCCTGAAGCCACCAGTCAACAAAACTCTACTTAAAAAATTCTATCTAAATGTGGCTGTTTATTTGCCACTCGGCCACCAGCAATTATGACCCACTTTTCCCACGGTCCCAAGCCCCCTACTGCATACAACGCCTCCTACAGAGTTGCAGGGTGGAATCTCGGAAAAACCTAATTTGGGGATCTTACCTGGATTTGCCTCGAGACTGAGCATATCCTTGTCAGTCAGAAGAACCTACTTTTATTAATTACCTGCCAGTTCCCTCTCCTTCTCCCTCCATTTTTGTTCGTTTTTTATTTTGCTAAATTGTGAAATCTACTTAAACTTTGCTCTTTTCTGTCTAGATGAGAACAAATTTCACTGTCAGGAAAATCATCCTATAAGAATGAGCTTTAGGGCGCCTGGGTG